TTGTAACTGCACTTGGTCCTTTCCTTCCACTTCACTGGCTGGTATACCTACTAGTTGGTGAAGCGGAGTGAAGGACTGAGTATTATCTACCATTTATCCCTTCAGATATGACCTGCTATGTAGCAGTCTCATAGCACTCCATAGCATTGGCAGAGTGCTACGGTAGTGCAACATAATTGGTACCTTGTATACAGGGATATGAAAGCTATGGTGGTACTTGTAGCACTACAGAATTTATTGCAGTGCTTGCTGATGTACCCATCTGCAGGTACCTGTATCCATGGATGGAGGTACTTTGTGTCCTACTACCAGCCAGGGATGGAGGTATTGATTTTTAAGCAGAAAAATGCCTGCAGGTGAGTGGAGGTACCTCACCTATGCCAGTCGTGAGGAGCTTTATGATTACACAATCAGGTGCACATCACAGCATCATTGTCCCGTCACATAGACCAGAAAGTTATTAAGTCAAAGAGTGTATACGAAACCAGTGGGACTGGGACTGGCCGCCCTAGGGTGCTGTGAGTTGAATGTGTTTTGAAACAATTTCAAAACTGGTTTCAAAACACATGTAAGTTTTGAAATCAGCCGACGGTCGAGGTTTTGAAACCAGAACATGGATCTGGGGACGGACACGTGATCCTCGGACCACGCCATTGGCAATCCATTTTATAGGCTTGCCAGCCAACTGGGGCAAGCCGGGCCCAGCCCTCGCACCTTCCGCGGAGTTCTCCGAGCCAAGGTTTGGACCGACTTGCACCATCTGTCACGGTTCGGGTCGGGCCGCCGGGCCACGGGGCCGTTTGGGCCCGTTTGGGCCCGTTTGGGCCCGCATAGGTCCGCACAACCACCATACTCCTCAATGCTCTCCCTATTTTTCTACTAGTAACCCCTTCCCTTCACCCCTGCGGGCCCTACGCAGTGCCCATCCGATCCATCCCTAATCTCTTAGCATATAAAAACCGTACTTACAGGATGGAGTTGCTAGGCTAATATCATCTATTCTCCGGGCTTAAACCCCACTTCGTGCTCCTCAGACCTACTCGCAGTCGGACCACCCAACAACCCAATATGGCCCAAGCCTGACGCTGACCGAATATTAGCCTCCCCTCCGAACACAAGAAGTACGACAAGATGTCTACCAAGCATGACAGTACGATGGGCACCCCTGCGGACCAGGGGGATGAGCGTGCCCGATTCATGGCCTTGGGCCATAACAAACAACAGGAGTTCCTGTTCGCCTATCTATTCCGAACGAATCAGGAGATGGAGCAACTTAGGGCCGAAAACACCGCCCTAGTGAATCGACAAGTGGCCATCGAGGCCGAGCTGTCCCGAGTAAACGGGGAATACACAGCTGTACAGCAGGGAGTTATGCAGAGCTACGATTTCCTCTGCCAAGCCAGAGAAGACCTGGCCCAACAACAGAACAGGGGAAACACCCGAGTAACCGTCTCTACCCCTAAGGAGTTCACGAGCGAAGCCAGCGAAGTAGACGCCTTCCTGGCAGACTGTTGGCTAACCTTCGAGGCCAACGCGAATGTCTACAACAACAAGGTACGAAAGATTTTGTATGCTCTCTCTTACATCAAAGGGGGAAACACAGTCACGTGGAAAGAGAATGTTTCCTAAGACGCTCCGCACCGCCAAAGCTTACACTATGTACGAAGGCTTCGAAAAAGACTTTATCACGGCCTTCCGAGGGGAGACCCACACCGAGATCATGCAGCAGAAGATGGAGACCCACGTCCAAACCAAAGACATGGACGCAACCAGATATTTCACCGTACTCGACTCTCTCAACAAAGTCGCGCACTACGACGACATCAATCTTATCTGCATCGCCAAGAATGGCATGCTTCGGGCCCTTACAAATGCAGTCTATCGGAAGGATACACTCCCCGACACTTAAGAGGCCTAGAAGGCAGAAGCCATCAAACAGGATGGGTCATAAAATCAACCACCCACGGGCCAAGACACCCCCGACGGCGCCCGCCCCTGCCAAAAGCGGGTTCAGTAATCGCAACCCATTCAATGGATGGGCCCGTAACGTGGCGATCAGCGCCACCAGACTGGCCGTGGCCGCACCCCGAGGAAACGGGGCAACCACGGTTGTCGGGCCCAGCACCCATGGAGATCGACCGAGCCCAAGCTCCTGCCACGGCCCGCAACACCGGCTGCTACAACTGCGGACAAGAAGGACATATCAGTCGGATGTGCCCGAACCGGGCCTCATTGGCCAGTCAGATTTGCGCCATCGTCTCGGAGTTTGTCAAAGATAATGTCACAGATAAGACCCGGCCCCTCGGCTCCGGGCGCTGAGGTTGGGCCATCGCAGGCCCATAGCATGGAGCACGTGACGATGGGGAACATGTGCCCAGTAGGAGGAACGCACACGTGGGAAGCACGTGACCGAGAACGATGCTTCAAGACGCGTCTTCGAATCCGGCGAGGTCCATTAGGTCCTCAAAGTCGTCGTCGGTGTATCCATAGACGTCCCGCGTTCCCATGTGATAACCCCCCGCTCTCCAACTTGGCGAGCGCAAGGTCTTGCTCGTTCTCCTCAACAAACCGAAGGCAAAACTCGGAGAGGAATAGGTTCCACCGAGGGAAAGGGAAAGGGGTTTTGCTCCCATGACGCTCTGCCCACTGCTGAGCAGGTCCCTCCGCCATATAGGACATGGCGTAGCGGACGGCCTTTTCTTCGCTCGGCTCTCCGTTGACCATGAAGGCCTCTAGGGCAAGCCGGGCGTAAGTCTTGACCACGTATAGGAAGGCACGGCCGGATTTGCGATCTCCGTTAAATGCAAACAGGGGGTTTGGTCGTAAGACCAGTTTTGAGGTGACAGTAATGTCACCAAATAACGCATCCGCGTTGGGGGCATTTGGAAATGCCGAAGTCGGTTCAGGAGCTGCCGAAGGTGGTGTGGCAGCGGGAGCCTGGGAAGCAAGATGGGTGAGGATGTTGGTGAGGTTGTCTAGTTTCGCCTCAAGTGCGTCCATGGGTGCGTCCATGCGCGCGTCAGTGTCCGACGCAGCTCTGGTAGACATAGCGGGCGTGACGACAAGGGCAGAGGAGGAGGGGTCAAGTGGCAGGGGCAGTGATGAGGGGGTACGGACTTGTACTCCAAGAGTCAGCGCCAAACCTGGCAATCTTGACCAGTTAATCCCGTAGAGAGTTTCTTCTGCTGTAAGGGCAACCCTGGAGACTCTGATGAAAGCCTAGCAGGGGAGGATCCAAAGCGTGAATAAGAGCTACGGAAATACACGGAGGGACCGACCTAGCAGGGAAGGATCCAAAGAGAAGAAACTCTAAGGTTCCGCCTGCTAGGGCGCCAACTATATACTGGTCGTCCGTAGCTGCCGATGTGGAAGTGCGGAATATCTCTTACTGGCTTTCCCATATGAGGCAGTTTCCCCTTTAGGATGCTCATCATTAACATTTGATGTGGCTATTTGTTTGTAGTCTACATCATCATTTAAGAGAACTCCTCACACCCAACCACCACCGAGTTCGCAACCAGTGCCGAGATTGCTCCACCAAGGGCAGGTTGCTAGTGAACACCGAGCCCCCAACCACCAGATTCTTGCGCCTTTCAAGTCCCCGAGCCCCCGAGCCGAGCTTCACGACTGGAGCGAGTTTCTGCGATTTTACATTCACTTTTGCTTTCACTCTTACATAAATTCTTCCACTCTTTTCCCTCCGAATTCCTTTCATTCGTGCTCCCCCAATCCCGGACATATCGAACATTCTTCTGGCGAACACTGCACAAGCCAGTACTTCCACACCGACGTAGAGCGCAGAAGGCCTGAGCAGCGTCGCAGGCTCTGTCCCAAGGTGATCGTTGGGAGGGTCTTGACGGATCGGTGATCGTGCGGGCGAAGGCAGCTCATTCACTCAGGATTACTAGTAAAAACATGGCTACTGGTGAAGGGCCTTCCTCATAAAACCTGGGGGAGGTCTTATGAGTCACAAATGTCACACTGTTTAAAAAACTATTTTATGCATATTTAGGTGTTAGATCATGATATTAATGATGGGATTAATGGTATCAAGATAAATTGATCAATGTGGAATGATTTTTGATGGACATCAGTGCTTTTGATGGCTATGTCAGGATACATCAATTTTGACCTAATTAGGATGTATACCTTTACTCTAGATCACAGGCCTACCTAGATGTTTATCCGGGTCTTCGGCCTGAAAAAATAGTGATTTGCCTTTCCATATCTGGTAATAGCTTAGTCATAGCTGTCAAACTCATTGAGATATTCACAATTGATTGAATGTCACATTTTTGTCACAGTACTCCGGCCATGGCTGGCATGAGCTCCCCCAGGTCTTATGAGGAAGGCCCTTCACCAGTAGCCACGATTTTCCTAGTAAAACTGGGTGCACATCCTGGCAAAGGAGGCCGAGGACGAGGACGAGGGTCGGGGTAGGTCGGAGTGTCCGAGGGGGCGGCGGTCGGATGTGCCTCGGATGCGCTCGGATGGTCCGAAGGAGGCCAAAGTGGGGGTTCCCCTGACACTGAGTCAGATTAACAAAAGGAATAAAACAGTAAAATACTTTTGGTAGACTTGTTGAGCAAGGTATAAGTCACACTGGGGTTTCAGCCATCCCCTATGGAGAATTTATATATGAGAAATAGTTATCTAAAACAATAGCCTTTTTTGCTGCCTTGATTGATATGCAATGAAAGTTGCAAAAGTTATATCTAGTTTACAAGAAATTAATTTTTCTTTTAGCAGAAATGCCAGTGTGAGTTGGTGATCCTCCATCTCTTGGAGAAAGTCTACCAATATATGTTAATAAGTGGACACTTCTGATTATGTTGATTTGCCCTGCAGATTGTGGGGGTCTGGCCCCGGCCCAGACCGATGGTCCAAATTTAGCGGCCACTATTCGAGGAACAGATGATTTGGGAGCGAGGGAATACTGGCCGACACTCGCAGCCACTTGTCCTCGATATCCACTACGTCGATGGCACACGACTCGGAGAATGCATATTCTTCCCCCGCTGCGGCGGGGCGGATCCGACCCGAGGTCATCACCAGAGCGCCACGTGCGTCACGTCACGGCGTTATCGATTGACAGCGCGTACGTAAACTTTTTTCTCCTCTTCTTCTTCCTCCTTCCTCGTGCGTCGCCGGCGGGCGCGCTCCTTCATGCCCGCGTCGTCCGCTCGCTGCTGCTAGAGTGTCCACCTTGTTGCCGTTTGGGGCCCCCACGTGCGTGGCTTTTGGCGCCCAGCGCGATTCGATGGGTGCACTGACGAGCCTGCAGTTTTGTATGCTGCGCTGCCCGACGAGCGCCCAAGACACGCGTTTGGGCACAGGGGCGAGGATTGGGACCGTGATTGGGACTGGGATTGGGATTGGGACGGGCGGGCGATGGCGGGATATGGGCCTGGCCGAGGGCAGGAGCGGGGGTCGGGGTCACGACGCGGTCAACGACGGCAGGGTCAGCAACAGCAACAGCAATCGCAGTCGCTCCCACCGCCTCAGCAACATCGGTCGCAAGAGCAGCAGCCACAGTACTCTCCACATTACGCGCCATACCAACAAGTCGCGTATGGCCAGTACATGATGTCTCCCGCATCCCACTATTTCGCCCCGCCACCGCAACCACAGCAGCAACAGCAGCAGCAGGCGGGCCCATCTATACACGCGGGCTATCCCACGCTCGCTGCCTATGCTCCACAACAACAGCCATCTTACGATTACGACTACGACAACTCTCCTACATCCTACCAGCCCCCATCCTTTGACAACTCGCCCACATCCTATCAGCCACCGTCCTTCCCTTACCCGCCATACCACTACGGCCCGCCGCCCACCCTTTACCCCCAACCAATGTACTACACGCAGTCCGGGCATCCGGAGAGCGAGGGAAGTGGGTGGTGGGGCGGCCACGGCCAGCAGCAACAATCGTACGATCCAGGGTATTCGTATTATCCCCAGCCGCCGCGGGATTACGCGATCCCAACCCACGAGGCAGCACCGTCTTCGTCGTCTTATCGCGCGACTCCCGATGATCATGACCCCACCCCAGAGCCGCCCACCGCTTCGACAAGCCAGAAGCAAGGCAAAACACCCTCACCGACACCCCCGCGACCGCGCCCAGTTGCAACACGTGCTTCCTCGTCCGCATCAGTTGCCTCGGCCGCCCTCCTCAGTCCCAGCCAACGTTCCGACAAGGGCAAGGAAAAAGCGAAGCCGATAGTGCGACGCGCGTACCACCCCAATCCGCCCGCCTCACGCTCAGAGTGGGTCATGTGGGCGGGCAATGTGCCGAGCGATGCAGGCCATGATGAGCTCTGGCGCTTCTTCACCGCCCCGGCAAGCGTGACTACGCCGCCGGCCTCCGAAGGCGGAAGTGTGGGATCAGGGAGCACCGCCGGCCCCGCGCCCGCGCTCACGACAACGACAACAGAAGGGCAAGCGAGCAGCGCCAGCCCGACGACAACAACGGCGCCGGCAGACCCAACGGGCGACCCGGGCGTGCTGTCAATCTTCCTGATTGCGCGCTCGAACTGCGCGTTTGTGAATTACGCGACAGCGGCACACCTGCATGCGGCAATCGCGCGGTTTCATGGTGTCCCGCTGCGAGCCGACGACCCGCGATGTCCTCGGTTGGTATGTCGCGTTAGGAGGAAGGACGACGACCTTAAAGCGGGGGTTGGCGGGCAGAGGGGAATGGGAATGCATACACGATGGGTCAAAGCCAAGCGTGCGAAAGGGGGAGAGGCAGAGGGGACGCCAAGCAGCGATAGCGGCCATGCGCTGGACCAGCCGGTCTCCAGCGAGGGTGAGGCGGATGCGGAGGACAGCCACGACGATGTGGATCACGTGCATGCGATAGACGAGGTGCCAGTCGTCCGACCGCCGCCGCGACCGTCGGGATCGGGCAGCCCAGGCTCGGGGTCTGGCTCACACGAGAGCGCATCCACAGACTCCACCCTTTTGAGGGAGCACTTCCCGCAGCGGTATTTCATCCTCAAGTCGCTGACAAAGGTGTGTGTTTCTTTGTTCCGGGTCCACGTGCCCTTTTCCCGTTATGCTGTTGTTACGCTTCCCATCTTTCGTTTTGTCACGGGTGTTTTGTTTTTATGTGCTTTTTACCTCATATCTTTCGTTTTCCTTATTTTTCCTCCCTCAGCTTGTTCTCCACTGCTGACGCTGTTCTCAGGATGACCTCGAGCTGAGCGTGAAAACGGGGCTGTGGGCAACACAACACCACAACGAGGGCGTCCTCGATCGCGCGTTCCGTACCTCGCAGGACGTATTCCTGGTGTTTAGCGTCAATAAAAGCGGCGAGTTCTATGGGTATGCTAGGTGCTCTTTCCGTTGTCTCTCCATTTGAAGTGCTCATGTATTTCAGGATGGCCGGTCCTATCAGTGAAACCCACGACCCACTCACCAGCAGTTCTCCCTCTGTCTCCGTTGCCTGGTCCCAACGCTCTCCTCCTTCCCCTGTACCACCAGCGCCAAGTTCCCCGGCCGCGCCTCTATTTAGCGGCGGGCGCTTTGTCGGTGACTCCCCGCTCCCTATGTCCTCAGCCCGTGCCCCAATCGTGCAGTCGGCGCCGGCGATCCTCGGCCCGAACGAGCAGCAGCGCGCTTTCAGTGCGGCCTCGCCGGCGCTCAAGTTCAGCCTCGACCATCACCTGCTTGTCAGTGCGCCGACACGCGCCGCTGTCATCAACCTCGACGCCAATGCCCCGCTCCGAGCCATGCGCAACTCACCTACAAGCCCGGTAGCCCCGGTGCCGTCCGCACCGGCACTCGGGCCGGCTCCGCCCCTTGCGCCGGTCGAGAGAGCCACGACCCACTCGCTGCCCGTCCCCCTCGCCGACCCCAGCCCCGATCCCGACGCGGATGCCGGGTGGGGCGCCAACTTCGCGCTCACGTGGGTGTGCACGGACCGCCTTCCGTTCACGCGCACGCGCAACATCCGCAACCCGTGGAACCACGACCGCGAGGTAAAAGTCAGCCGCGACGGGACGGAGCTCGAGCCGGGCGTGGGAAAGGCGCTGCTGGATGCCTGGCGCGCATATCTCGAGGCGCAGAGTGATGCGAGCGCCAGTGCGAGTGCGAGTGCGAGTACAAGCGCCAGCCCCAGCACCTCGGGACGGGGACAGCCACGTCCCGGGGCAGCCCGACAGGGCTCTTCTGGCGGGTCGGGACGGCAGCCGCGCGGAACGCGGTCATAACGCCCAAAGCTATTCACATCATGATACGACGACAAAACACAACCGTACAAAAGCATACATCGCCGACCGATCACGCGGGGTCGTGTCGATAGGCCAGTCGCAGTTTTCAGGAGAATACACGCCTCCGGATGCTGCGCCTGTCTGTCTCGCCGTCCTCCTCCAACACACACTCACACACTCCCTCCTGCGCCGCGCGTGTCATTCACGATACACGCGCGTGCGCCACGCACTCTTTGTCTTGTCTACTCTATCCTAAAAAAAAAACTATCCTACAGTGTCTCTCGGGTTCTCGCGCAGTCTCTTCTTCCTTGGGTCTTGGGCTGTTTCTCTTTGTCCTTCCTGTCGCTACGCAAACACACACATATAGCCATACACGCACGATACACGCACGCATACACGCACACACGTACACGCACGCACACCATTTGTAGCCAGTAGTTTCTTCGTAGGTAGAATGAGCCCCCGCGCCGCGGCAATATACACGGTCGCTGCGGGGTTGTAACCATGTCCGAATTAAGTCAACTAAGCATGTGACTGCGAAGTTGCCGCGCAGTCTGCGCATGCAAAATTGAATATAAATTAATAGACTGGCCCTAAAGGAGTTGCCACCCTACGGTTGGGTCTATAAAACCATATATACTGCTGGCCCTAAAGTGACTGAGTTTATTGTAATGACTTCCAGCTGCCAGGACTTTAGGGCTGGTAGAATAACTGGAATAACTGCCCACTCAGTGAGGCTGTACATATCATAATGTAAACACTTGGTTCACTTTACACCTAAGCCTACGAAGATTAAAAAGGACAAGAAACTGATAATAGATAAGAGAAGAAAGTGGTGTATGTGTTGCTGGAAGGAATTCAACTCAGGGTCAAAGGGCATGATATTAAACATACAAGGCAAACCTTGATGTGCTTGCTTGCCAAATGACTAAGTGTGCAAGTGCCTTCAGAGCTAACAAACTCCTTAGGAAACTCAACACTAAGAACTCAAGAACTCAAGAGAGAGATCAAACTCAGAAGGGAAAGAGGGGGAAGCAGATATATGATGGAAGGAAATATGATATGATGCTAACTACTAACTACAGACAGGCTTTTATAGACTAGATAACTAAGGGCTAAATGAAATAGAAACTAAAATCAAATGAAAAATGAGTAACAAATAGGAAATGGAGACTAAGGTAGGATGTGGAAAATGGCAACTAGAAAAGGCAGTGGAAACTAGACCAGAAACAGAAACTTGGTGACCTAAGGGGAAAAAAAACTACATTAGAAATACAAGGAGCATCTTAAATGTGCATTCCGCTTGTATTTCAAAAAGGAAAATGTGGGAAATATGGCTGGTTTAGTACCAGCTGAATTTTACAAGGGGCTTGTGGAACTGTTAGATGTTGGTGACATGTCAGATAGCAAGAATAATATAGCAGTCAATATATCAGCAAGCACTGCAATAAATTCTGTAGTGCTACAAGTACCACCATAGCTTTCATATCCCCGTATACAAGGTACCAATTATGTTGCACTACCGTAGCACTCTGCCAATGCTATGGAGTGCTATGAGACTGCTACATAGCAGGTCATATCTGAAGGGATAAATGGTAAATAATACTCAGTCCTTCACTCCGCTTCACCAACTAGTAGATATACTAGCCAGTGAAGTGGAAGGAAAGGACCAAGTGCAGTTACAATTGTTAGCTAATTATTTTTATTATTTTATTTGTATTATAAATAGACCACAAGGGGGTTTAAACCCACCACCATAGCAAAAGACAACATAGTATACAAAGGAGAAACTAGCAATACTAAGAAAACTTAATATATTATAATTTGGTGAGACTATAATGTAGGTCTGAACCTGCCTAATCGGTAACTTGTATCAAGTATTCAAGTATGTGATGCTCATAACACTAAGGGAGCTTGTTACTTTATGTGCTAGGAATTCTTTTGTTGACTATACCAAATAGGCAAATTGCTTACTTGTTGATGATACTATAGCAAAGCATGTCCAAGTGACAGAGATACTTAACCATAAATATCTGTAAGCCATGGTTATGAAGCTTATACATTGTTAATAGTTATGGATATAATTCCCCTGATATCTCTAACACTAGTGGCTATAGTGCTACAGAGTGCTATAGAGACTCTGAATATAGCTATATAGTGCTACAACAGCTATAGCATTACTTATAGCTTTGGCACATTGCCCAGTAGCCAAATCCGTGTTTCCTGATTAGTAGAGCAGCAGCAAATACGTTCATATAGTGTTATAACTCGTCTAGCATCATCCCAAGATGGCAAAGCATCAGACCTATACCGCTACTAAGTTACACTAGCATTGGCAAATTAGCAGTTTCGAAATTGAGAAAACATATTTCTTATCTGTTTAACAATCCTAAATTTGGAGCCCTTCCTTTTTAATGGTGGAGAGATAGTAAAGAAAAGGGAATGTAAAAGACTTGAGGATTTTTTGGCTTGTTAGAACTACTGACAATAAAGCGTTGCAAGCTGTAAATCTTCTTATAGTGCAGTTAAGGACATAGGTTAGTGACAACCCAGATACTAAGACATCCATATCATTCTTTATTATGTAGGTAGTCACAACCAGAAAAGATGTCAGTATAATATATATAATCTATTAGCCAGAGTTTAGGTATCTACCTATTAAATAAGAAAACTTGCTGAGATTTTATTATAATTGTTGATTGCTCTAATAATTTGCTTTGTCTCTGCCCCTTGATAATCTATCTTAGTTGCTATCTTCTTGTTTTAAAAGAGTGCTTGTGTAAGGGCAATCCTGGAGACTCTGACGAAAGCCTAGCAGGGGAGGATTCAAAGCATGAATAAAAGCCATAGGAAATACATAGAGGGACCAACCTAGCAGGGGAGGATCCAAAAAGAAGAAACTCTAAGGGTCCGCCTGCTAGGGCGCCAATTATATACTGGTCGTCCGTAACTGCCGACGTAGAGCGCAGAAGGCCTAAGCAGCCTGAGCGTCACAGGCTGTGACCGTTGGGAGGGTCTTTATGGATTGCTGATTGTGCAGGTGAAGGAGGCCAAGGATGAGCGTTGGGGTAGGTCGGAGCGTCCGAGGGGGTGCCGGTTGGATGCGCCTCAGATGCGCTCAGACAGTCCGAAGGAGGCCGAAGCAGGGGTTCCCCTGACAGCTTAAAGTTATAGACCCAGGGAAACATATAAAATTAGCGAGCTGAGCCTTGATCATTGTAACGTGCAGTACCAAATTTAACACAGGTATCATAGTCAGCCTAAGTTCCCGCATACACCATACATAAGTTGATATACATATCATAGACGATTGAAGCTACCCTGCTTATTTAGGGCGCTTATTTCTAAATCTGGTAGTATAAGAAAATATTGTCTTTAGGGTGGTGTCTTTTAGCAGCAGTCTGACAGTTATTGTAAACCTCTTTAGCTGCGCAAGCAGTAGCAAGGTAGAGATTAAGTAAATAGCAGAATAAACGTTCGGAAATGTTAGAAGTATTGTTAAGAGACATCCTATTGTTGTCAAGAGTGAGATATATTTTCTTTTATAGACAGGAAGATGTATTTTGTAAGTTGTGAGAGTTAGAAGAAGACAAGCACAAAGATAAGTAGCTATCTGAGTCATCCTCTGAGTCTGTAGTTAAGTTCTTTTCATCATCACTTTGTTTTTTGAAGATAGTCAGATGAGCGTAAGGTAGGTGTACTTTGGGACTATCTATTTGATAGTCTTAGTAATTGTGCCAGGTAGATAATAGGTTTTTGCGTTAGCCCTTACAGAATTGATAACAGTTGCAAAGGATGCAAGTTAGACTGGACACTATTTACAGGTTAGACACAGAAGAAGTCAAGTTTCTGCTGATCTGCTAACATGTTGATAGAAACTGTTCTAAAAACTTAAAGATTCAGACAGGGTTCTACAACTGAGTAGATTGAGGGGGAAATTCCTTGCCATCTCTATATAAAGCAGCTATCGACTGACATTAGCAGGTTCTAGTGGTTGGGAGCAAAATCTAACAGCTAGACTTCTTACTAGACATTATCTGCAAGATGTAAGTTAAAAAGCTTAAGGTTCTGTTGCTATGTTTGAAAGGCTTATCATTATCTAGAAAGATGCATAAGATGGCTGTTAATTTATAGTGAAGATATTTACCCTGTCTTGGCTGCTATATGAAATAGCTATTGCGAAAGTTGTAGTTTAACAAAAATAGAACCGATGCAAGAGCTTAATAATAAAACAGTTATGTAATAGTCATCATAATTGTAAACGGAAATTAAGAAGGGAGCTTATAGCTTAGCCAGCCTAAGTGTCTGCTTTTCTAAATATAATGCTTAATAGATAAGTGCGTAATTTTATTATACATGGACTTAGACTTAGATACCCAGAGAATTATAGCAGTTATAGCAGCATAAGATAGGACTTAGTAGCATAGAGAGAGACTTAAATATGCTGCTTAATAGTCCCAGAGGGAGGATGCAGATTTACGTATTACACCCTATTAATTCCTACCACATACCTATCCTTTTTAATTCAATCATCGCCCTAATGACATCCTTGCTTGTTACTGTTCCTGTTAAATGTCTATGTTTTGTTGCATAGCCTTACTCTAACAGTAGAAACAGCTACTTATAGTTTAGTTTAGTCTGACACCTGTTGCACTAGTATGTGATGTCATAGGTGTAGATAGTATATAAGTAGCCTGCCAAATCTCCTGTACCCTAGTCCTTTTATTCTAATTGATTACACCAAACATACCTACCTGTTTGGCAGTCTATTTAATGCATATGGCAGAACGGGTTTTGTAATAATAGTGCCTGGCACTATGGCACTACGATAATGCCACTTTAATGCCATATGGCACAACATCACGTGATATGAAATAATATTGAATTTTTTTGATCATGTTTTTGTAAAATCTAAAGTAAATCCTCCATATTCCAGTCATCTCTATCATCATCCTGAACCACATTGATCTTTTGGGCCTCTTCTCGAGGTACAACACACTCAATAGCCTTCTTGATCAATTTAAAATCGTATACGTCCACCGGCCATCAATAACAGCTAACTCGGGGATTTTTTCTTCTTTTTCCCACCAACCTTCAGCCGCTCAGGTAGTTCTTCATCTGAGTCTGCATTCTCTGGCGGTGTGTCTTCAGCTGCCTGCTCTGAGTCTTCATCTTCCTTCTCAGCATCTAATGTTTCTTCAAGCTGTGCAAAAGCCCTTTCCGTGGCCTCCTCGCCATCATCCTCATCTCCTTCGAGCGGTGCATCCCAAAGGTCCTCATCGAAGGTCTTGCTCGGCTGCGCGCTGTCAGGGCCCAGAGGTGGGCTATTGGCAGCCGTCATTCGGGTCGATAGTGGCATGACTTGGGACTTCTGCTGCACGACCTTGGTTTTTTTCGCAGGGATGTGGGATTTGGCCTCTTCCACCAGCTTGCTTCGGATTTTCGCAAGCTTTGAAAAGGTGTCGACACCCAGACTATTTCGTTTAGCTGACTGAATGCCATTACAAGCAGAGAAGAGTCGCTCTATCTCGGCAGAGTGCGGGCAAATGGAGTTGATTGCCATTGCGAAGGGCTTGAGGGGATGTTTCTCGGCGGAGACGGAAAGACGCTTCCACCACTCTCGTAAGTCACGATCTCCACCGTTCCAAGGCTCTCGGCAGCCATGATATTCCACCAGGTCAAGCAGAAGCAACTTGCACATCGACTTCGGCCACTTCCATTTGTTCTTTGCAATATCCAAGGCTGTCTTCTTGATATCATGGAACGAAAAAGCCCGGCACATCGACCACGGCTAGTTTGCGACACAACGGATGGAGGAAAAGAGCGAGACGGTGAAGAGGGGTTGCGGAAACGCTTGTCGACAACCTGGTAAGCATGCTCTTTGAAGCCAATATCGTCTTTGCGTTCGTCTTTCAGCAGAGAAAGCTGACGCGCAGCTTCGACCAGGTTCAGCATACACTCTCCGAGAGTAGCCGCCCGTCCCTCGCATAGTGCGATTGCGTCAACGAATGGTTGAGCAATGCGAACAGTTTGGGAAACCATTGGCCAAAATGTGTCGTCGGGGTCGCGTACGGTTCGGATAACATCTTCGTTCACAGCAGACAACCCTTTTGCGGCATGGCAGGCATCTTCGCGGGCGACAAGTGTGATGAGCGGGGTTCGATGCGATAGGATACTTCTCAGCAAGAGGATTAGTGCGTACCACCGTGACTCGCAGTTTTTCTTCAGACCGCGATTCACTCCCTCCGCAGCAGCTGTCGTTTTGAGCTGCCCACCCCAGTAGTGCGATCCATTGAAAAATGTGACCACTCGATTGGCGCGCTTGATTTCGCGTTTGGCGTCAGCATATCGGCAAATCTCGCCGATGAGGGTGTTCAGCCCGTGGGCCCAGCACGCTAGTGTCTAGGTTTTGGTCAGTTTCCCATCGCTCAGCTGCTATATGATGGATACTCACTATCAGCCAGGGGAATTCCTTCTCTAACATTTTACGGAAGCACTTCATAACGTTGGGATTATCGGTGACAGCTGCAAGAAACGGGCTCGCGTTTGTGATCCCCATATCCGCCATTGCAGTCTTCGCAGTTTTGAGAACGGTCTCGGCATTACCACGATGTCCAGTGACATCGTACAAGCCCATAACGATTGTCGCGTCTCCAACCCGTCCTGCCGCCACCCCGTATAATTCACGACGAAGCTGATCCTCCCACCCGTCGATGATGAGCATGCCGCTGCGCTGCCACCCCAGCAGCTCCTCTACAAGCTTCAAATGAACATCGCTATGCTCTGCGTCAAGTAGGAGCGTGGACATAGTGTTGCGTCGGTGAACGGTATCGACACACTGGGCAACTCGACGGGCTGAATAATCGGCTCTTTTCGCGAAAGACTCTGCGCTGAAGCGGCGACCGGGGCGGCAAACGGCGTTGGGGAAATCGGGCGACACAACTAGATTCGGGCACGCAGATTCGGGCCAACAATAGTATGCGGGACGAAACGGCCGTTAGGCAAGACCACCTTGCCTTCCGCGCTGCGCTTGCAAAAGCCGGACGCGAGATCGAACGTGAGACGGGGACAATCGCGAATCCAATGTGCGGGATCGCTGCAGTACGAGCAGTTCGAACGAAAATCCGGAGGCGAAGGCGGCGAGTCGAGACGTGAAGCGGGAGGGTCATTGGGCGAGCGGGGAACGTTGGTGCGTGGTATTCTCTCGGTCTTAAGCGACGCTGACTCTTCTTTTGCAGCTAATGACGAGGACGCCTTGTTTCGCAGCAATACACGGTCGATGGCGGCACGAACAGCTTCAAGCGGGTACGCGTCGTCGATGTGGACGTCCGGAAAGCGCAGCTCGAGTTCCTGGTGGACGGCGGGACGAAGCGCCGGCGGTATGGCTCTCACAAGAGCTTGGCTCTGCTCAAAATTGGCAAGGCGACGTTTGGAGCGCAGGAACGACGACACACGCCAGAAATTGCGATAGAACACGCAGAAATCGGCTCGGGATGGAGATTTGGAGGCGGCAAAGGGGGCAACAAGAGCTTCGAAGTCAGCAGCAGAGTAACGACGGTCTCGGTCAGCTTCGGGATACAACGCAAAGACAGCGCTGACGAAGTCGGCAAACGACGCGGCGGGATCGTAGAACTCGGGCAAGAACTCCCATAATTCTTGGTCGACAAGCTCAAGGTAACGCGTGGCGTGCTGCTTTTGCAGTCGGGAATCGGTGACGCTGGCACGGGCGAGAAGGAACTCGAGGTCAGAAAAGAATTTGGCAAGGTCTCGGGGGGCGCGCGGAATCGAAAACTGGCGCGATACGGTCTCGACGAGCAGGCATCGGGAGCGGGAGAGAACTGGCATGTGTTTCGAGGTCAACGGGATGGTGAACGGGAGGCGCCGGTGGGATAGATGAGCCATGTGGACGGGATGCGACATGCGGAGGATCTACAATAGGCGGTGACGCGGCTTGGCTATTAGCAGCCTGAGACGAATGTGAAGGGGAAACCGGGGAGATGGTCGGCGCAAGATTCGAGTACGAAGGCGGCAGCGTAGAATCAGAATCCTTTGACGTAGAGAGGTATGAATTCGAAGCCAGGACAAGGTGTTTGAAAATGGAGGGAGAAGTGCCTGGAGCACTGGACTGGGCCCCTCGCAGTGGGCTCCAATATGATGCGCTGCAAGCGTGCTCGAGAGCGCGAGCTAACCCAAAATAGGTCAGTATCACTACTCCCAGCAGCCAATAGCTAAATAAATATGCGAGGGTCAATCCATACCCAGGACTTGGAGGGCTGGTGGTGGTACAGTGTGTGGTATTGTTGGGTGTAAGTGACGCAACGGCGAAGGCAACGAGAGATAGTGCGAGAGCGACGGGCGAGGGCTCCGGACCGGACGGACATATCGGCGATGAACGGCGGAACTTAGATCATAAATGCGGGGAGCTAAAAACTTCTTGAACTACAGAATACAGGGCTTTATATACCAGAAATGAAATGAAATGACTCAGAGGGCGAGTCAGACCGAGTTCCTGGGCCGCGCCCGAGGACTCAGATGGGCGGGGACGCGTCGCCGTTGAGCGCGGGAACGCGTTTGATGCGCGTGATGCCGCGGCGTGATGACGAAAGCCTGCTTACGCAGCGCCGAGATGTCTTGCTCCGCGCTCAGCCGGAGCGGAGTCTCAACAGCAACACTGAACGACGGACGAAGGGATCGCGAGTACTTGTCGAGGAAGATATTGTCTGCATTCACAAATGCTGTGTTTGAGTGAATGAAATCACAAAGCAGGTGTCGATTCGCTGTGTTCGTCTCTGCGGTTGTCATTGGTCGGTCGGCATAAGCCGTGAATCTGGCTTGCTTTGGAGTTGCGTCGAGCCTCGGTTTCTTCGCAGCCACTGGCAAACTGCCCTGTACGACGTCCACAGGTAGGTCGCCGTCTTCTGGAGATGGTCGCTTGCCTAGACTAGTCCCCGAGTGATCGTCCTCACTAGGCTTCTTGTCCTTCATCAGGAGATGAGCCGCTGTTTTTGCAAGTGCTGGAGCAGCAGAGCACATAGTGGCATGAGTGGCAAGCCGATTTTCACGGTGCTCGAGTTCTGAGGAGCAGTATTTGCATGCTAGTTTTTGTCGGCCAGATTTATTTTCGACTTGTTCCACAAACTCCCAGTGCTTTTCGTAAAAGGTATCAAGAACTCTAGGCATGGCGAAGGATAGTTGTGAATATTCAATTCTGGTACATTGTACTTTATATATATATAACCCAGACTCCCAGCCACTGACAGGTGCTTTGCTACCTCTTAGCTCTAAGCTTTGTTCAAATGCCAAAAACACATATCAAATTGCATTGATCCGCCATTTCGGGCCGTCATTCTGCCACCCCCAAAGGTGAGCATTGTCCATACTGCCAGGTAGTGCCATCTGCCACTGGCTGATTGGCGGATCATTCTGCTAAAGCCAGCAGCTTTAAACTGTCTATTACACTAGTAACAAACTCCTACCATCTTACAAATCCTCCCTTTACTTTGTTCTATAGAGTCATCACTTGATCACTCATTCAGTTGACCCATCATTTGATCAAGCTCTGTTTATAACACCATGTGCATAAGGTGATGTGCAGTAGTAGCAGCTTAGCAAGTGTTGTTGCTCTGCTTTAAGTTGCAACTTTACTGCTACTGCATCTATATTAGAGAAGATTTGCTAGGGCTTACTGTCGATCTTATAGTCATAAATTAGTACTTATTCAGCATTATAAATAAGATAGCTGTAGTGTGTTATAGGCGGGAATATTTGTACTGTCTCTTCTTGCAAAACAGGTCTGATAATGCCTGTTACTATAAAGCCTGGTAGAGTAGTAGATAGAGATACAAAGACTACTTTAGCAAGAGCTGACGCCTTGCAACTAAAGTGTTATTAGTTACCTGCTTTGTTGACACCTAAGACCCAGACAAAATTAAAGACTAGTCCTGCTAACTCGAGCGCTTTTCAGATTTAGCAGGATAAGGTTCTGTGCTAATATAAGCACAAGAATGAGACGAATTTCTACCTAAGGGACTACTAGCAGTGTGTAAAAGGCTAGTGTCTGTAAAAGCTAATATAGGTGCTTAGGAAAGGGATAAGCCAGTTGTTAATTAACTAAGTTGCCAGTAGTTATGATAGATTTCTGAAGAGACCTAAGGGGGCATGCTGCCTATATTCAAGAGTGGGATGCTACTTAAGTCATCTATAAATCAAGTTGTTATTCTAGCAATATATTAAGCTTCTGCCATTTGGTTTGTAAATTCAGTTAGAGACTATAGTTCTAGTGGCACTTTGGATTTGTTTCTATTAGTTATTGATGCTGTGTAAGCCTGGCTTACATACTCACCTGTAGATCACATGTTCTTTAGTCACTCACCTCTGTACCCTGTCATAGTCTTCAAATACAGCAAGGTTCTGTTGTATTGTTTGGTTTGCTTCAGTGTTTCCTAGTTGGGCCACCAGGTTTCCATGCTGCTGATATTGGTTAGCAGGAGGCTTGTTAGACAAGCTTTAACCACATATCCAACAACTAGTCTACTGTAAAAGCCCCACTTCTATCTTTGCAGTTTATTAGTGTATGGGCTAAGCAGATTGTATCGTTAACCTACCTAGGATCTTGCTCATTATAAGAGTAACATCTGCTTGAAATATGTCTTCAATGCTAGTTAGCGGACATGTTATACAAGAGATGCTAGCCGCGTGCACACATATTTAGTTTAACAAAACATTAGTGCTATCTCTACTATGGTCCCTACTTATTTAGCGGAGTGACTTCAACTGGCAGGATAGGTTACTTAATGAAAGCACCTGTGAATTCTATATAACCCTTCTGGTTAGGAAGGGAGGTACACTCTACCTCCCATTAAAGGAACTGCTTAAATGCCCTATGCTGTAATAAATACTATAATAAAGTTGCTATAAAGTTCAGATTCAAGACCTTAAAGCGACAAGTCCACTCATAGCTGATATTTAGATCACTTTCTAAAAAAGGCAATTCTGCTTTCTAGACAATTCAGACACAAGTCCAATAAAGTGTTTATATAGCACTTTATTCATCTGTTATTAACAATGAATAATTGAACACACTAGTAACTTGTGTTTAGTTCAGCGCCTGTGTCACGCTGTTGCACTACAGGGTCAGATAGTGTGACAAATTTCCAAAGAAGGAAATTTTCACCATTTAACAGTACAATCATCAGGGAATGTTACAGATTATCACAAACTCATAGTTGTATATTTTGTTTATACAAACTACTTTCTTTTAGTAACCTATCCTGCCAGTTAAACAGTCATGTCAGCACTAGCCAATCACTAGCTGATCAACAACTAATAAAATAATATCTTGATAACTAGCCAGGTTATACAGCTGATTCAAGTACTACAAAACATGCCTGAATGGTAAGATTAATATTCTTGATGAGACAATATTATAAGTATATATATACTACCTAATGATTGTCCATCAGACCTATTGATCTATTAATATCTCTCCCAATTCTTTCTAGATTCAGATGATTGTTTTACTAGTAGGTAGGTGATAATATTGTCTTGATATGGTCTGATATGAATATAGTGTTATAACTTTTAGAATATATAGTCATACCACTTTTTTTTTTAGTTTTTTTTGCTCCAAATTTGATCAAGCACAATGATGACTTGATATGTAGGTGAGGAATGCATGGATAATTATAATAACAAAATTGACTGCTAGTATGTTTTTCAAGTTGCTGCATATAATAATTAAGCCACCTTCAAGTATTACAGTAGTGCCTGCATTTGCTGATAGCTGTAAGGGCAACTCCGGAGGCCTGA